TGATATTTAAGCAGACCCGTATGCAGGATTCTAAATATCAATAATTGCAATAGTTTAATTGAATGGAAAACACTAAAACGGGGTCTCACCGTTAAATGTGTGGTTAGAGTGTACGGTAGTTGTGAGATTCCAATTTTTAGCTTCTGGTCAGTGGTGAACGCCTCCAACGTCACGATCAGAATTATTATTGCTACAATATCGCAGATTGGAAGTGGAACGCAATATAATGATTTTATAGGTTTTTGATTCCATATTTGTGATAGATGCTGGTCTATAATATACAAAATGAAGTTCTTCACTGTAAATCAGTTATTCTAATTGAAATTGATCAACTCGTTGGTTTCCAGAATGAGGCTTATGATGCTTGGTTACTACTTTTCTGAAGGTGATATTCTTAGGGTTTGTTCAAGTTGTCAGGCGAATCATTCAAGCATGCTGAGCTTATTCATTGGGCAGTAAACTTTAAGGTTTACGTTGGAGTGTATTTCCTACTTGGATTTGGCCTTTATTGTGGTGAGGAAAAAATGTAGGAAGCTAAATTTGATCTTTGAACTACATAGTAAGCAACTGTACAAACATTCCCGTAACTTTGCAATATTTTTTCATTTACTTCCTTTCATCTCCCCCCCTTTGCCTTGCTTACTCTAGACATGCAAACAAATTATTGATCCGTGCGAACAATACATGACCTACAATGACAACGCCTATCACAAAGGCTGTTTCACCTGTGCTTCGTGTCATCAAAGTTTGGCCGGGAAACAATTTTGTATCAAAGATAACGGCTATTATTGCCCAGAGCATGTCTAATGAATTTATGTATCTGGTGAGTGATCTGGTGTGATACGCATGTAATCCGTGCAAAATAATACACCACACTCAAAGAATATATGCTGTTTGTCGTTATTCTTTAATCGACAAATGGGTTCTCATCTTACTTGAGCTCATGTATGCTTTCTGATTCACTGATTCGGCTTTCTCTACGATCAACGGTTGTTTTCGCGCTGTGTTGACGCATCATTCCATTCAAGGTCACCAAATGATTGGGAAATAGATGTTAATCGCTTCCGCCGGTTATCCTTCTCTCATGGAGACGAATCGCCAGGCTTGTTGACAGATCCAACAAGGCTGAAGTACTACAAGTGCACACGTGTTATGTTCCACGGGTTCAAAAGAAGCATTTGAACTTCTGGTCATCTCGGATTTCCTAGTACGCTTGACCTCGCAGCACCTCATAAAAGAGCACATGTACATAATTCGTACTAAGCTGTCTCTCCACGTAATAGTGCCTAACTATGAAGATAGTCTATGGATTTAAGCATACCAATTTAGAACCAATTAGTTCCTATCGAGCCCTAGCTGAGTATACAGTTACAGTGGCTTTTCTGATGTGAGTTTCAGAACATGTGAGCTACTGACGTACTTGTACTTTCATGTTAACCGTTATCGAATTGTGAGGCGTTTTCGTTGCTTACATCTAGTAGAACACAATTCTGAACTTAATGTATCTTCAAAAATACTTTTACCGTTTTCAAATATGAAGGCATACAAATTTCTGAAATTTTAGATTCAAATCATTACACATCCTGGGGTGATGAGTAGTGAAAATAGTGAAAATTATTGTCTTGAAGACCTACTGACGATTTAGGAGAATCACTGACCTTAGTTTTGTGGTTTTAGGCAGAAAGTTATACCGACAGGATACATTTGGTGGCTTTTAACTGCCTAGCGCGGAATACTGGACACATTAAGTGTGCTATATTGGAATGAGATATTATCCATCCTTCTGTAGGGTTTTGATATTCATTTTGTGCATTTGGGCACACACACGGAGCAGATCATAAGCCTTCAGTGAAACAATTAAAAGCGCACGGCGATGTGGAGTTCGTACTCGTTTTCGTGGTGCTTTCACGAAATGTTTTTATTTTTGTCACTGGGTTGGACAAATCAGCGTGATTTCACCAATCTATTACACCTGAAATTAGTTCGCATTATTGAAATTCAAAGTCAAGAAAAGCTTTATGCACCCAAAAGGAGTCCGCGTAATTATGTGATTTAACCACACAGGACTTGGTCGTTGTTGGCGTTGCTTTATGTTTATTGACCTGTATTACAATGGAAATAGATTGCACGTAGAAGTTTACAGAAATATAATATATAGTCTGCATCTAATAAAGTTGCGCAAATAAAATGAGGTTGAAAGAGTGGTGGCGGGAGTACTGGTGAGAACAAGTGAAGTGTTCACGAGTAGAATACCTCAAGACCCACTATTTTCGTAATATGAAGGAGAACGTTGTGTAGCTAAGCTCTATTCGTGTTCACCCCATTACTTCCAATCACATGGACTCAGACGCTCAGAAATAACCAACATATGCTTGCTTCGTTTACATTCAAAGTGTATCATTCATCCGATCACATTTCAGCGCAACCTGTAATCCTTTGTTAAATTTAGGTTGTCTTTTGCAAATCAATTACAATTTGAACTTTGGATTGCAACGGCCACAATTGGAGTTATAATTGCACCTTACTCTTTTTTGGGAGTGCGCCAAATTCAGAGATATGAAACACGCGTCTACACAAAAGGACAACCACCGTTTATCATTTTTCAAACACAACCTAACGGGGATGAACTGCAGATAGATGAAACCTGCAAGTAAAAGTTGTCTTCGTTTCAGTTGTGAGAATCGGCAAAATCACTATTGAGATTTAAAGTAGGAATTTAGATCCTCACGTCATCAAATAATCTGCCTATCGAATCACTCGACAGAGAAATAGCCTACTAATATTCATTGACGATGTTAGAGTTGGAACCTCAGACAAAATGGGAATCAGATAAAGCAAATGAATAATTGAAACCTTTTGACTTGAAATGTCGCCACGATGCAGTAACGGACAGTGTAATCCTGAACTGTACAAATCACTGCATAAAAGGGTACGGAAATGCATCAGGTATGGGAGAACAGCCTCTTTCAAAAGAGGNAGGTATGGAAAAGTTCATCGTCATCTGCAACCGTCGGTTGACGAATGTGCTGAAGTTCAAAGGCCTGCCACGATACACAGAAACATTTGGATTTGTCAAAGCTTTTTTGGCTCCTCATTGATTATAATTTCACCAGTCTACGAATCAAAACTGGCCTTGCACGGAATACGATATTCATGAATCCACCAACCCCTAAGCAGCACCTGTAATGTGAAGAAACAAGACCTTTGCCAAACACGTCGCACTGATCTCGATATTACCAGTGGGCTAGCCTTAACAGACTGGTAAAGTAGCTGCGCTCTAATTGAATTTGAATTAAGTTATAGTTACGTCCTGTTGTATAAATTAAAGTACCTGTTGATGGAAGAAATTGATCAATAACTGCATTGTCCGATCAAACACTTACTTTATCACAGCCAGAAAATTGAAAACACTGAACTAGTTTCCCGGTCGCATTTTTATTTTGTTTTTACTAAACATTCACGCACGCGCGATTCCTAACGGCCTAAACGTCAATTTCAGAAATAAATTCCGATTTGAGGAATAAAAGTCGAATAATGATGACCCAAATTAGTACCGGGATATTATACCACGAAATAAAGAGAGCACGTCAAACAGATACGTAGAAAAGAAGGTTAGTAGGAAAACCTGGAGCGTTCCAGAATACTTGTCAATCAGAAAGATTTTGATGACACTGCAAACCACAGAGTCGAAAACTGCATGTAAATGAAACGATCGCTGGAGTTAAATTCGGTAGTGCAAATTGGGATAAGTGTCGTTTAGGGGTTGAATAGCTTTCATGGAAGTACACGTCTTTATTCTGTGGTCAAAACGGTTCCAGAAGTTTACTTTGTGATTTTAATTATTTGACGCCCCGAACGCTATGAGAAAGTCCTTCCACTTTTAGGTTTTGCTATCCATAGAACAAAGAGTAACTTTACCAGTCTGAGACTAACTTAACGGCAACATGGAGGTCAGTGCATACTGTTATGCGTTTGTGTGGGCAACACATTATTTGACCGAACCATATTGTGTATCGAGTGACGAACCAAAACGTATTGTCTTAACACAATACCCATTTTTGGCAACGCAGTTTGCTGGGGGACCGATCACAAATAAAAAATAAAGTTTGATAGATAGCGACAAATTCGGTGTGTAGGAGTGACATAATCTTCCTAGGAAAAACGTGTGGTTTTTATCTTCCGAATGGAGGTTACAATGAATTTTAGACCGATTGGGATGTGATTCTAGAAGATTAATTTATCAACTGACAGCATAGAGTTTACATTTTAAACAAAGGTAAAAGTCGAACAAGACTACGAAGTCTCTAGTGTGTATTTATTTGTATCCAACGGAATTTTATTTCGCTATTCTTTCGTTTTTTTAATTTAAAATGCACAACGATTTGACGCATACGTTTTATTTTACGTTACTCTTTAATAACAGCCATAAAAATGATGTTTACTTCAATGATAAAAGCGAATCTATGCCAACAAGTATCACTCACTGCTTCTTACCAACTTCTTGTTTTCTACTTTTCAGACCGGGAATCTTATTTTAGCTGATATTTAATTGCACACGGAGGATAGATTGTTGTGTTCTCCACTATCAAACACTATTTTCGCTCTTGATTATAAACAAACCAAATCTAGATACCTAAGGTGTTCTCCACGTTCCCGATTGTTTTTTTTTTGGTTTCAATCTTTCTTCGTCCGCAATTCGCATTGAATCCACCTTCAATTTATCATTTATTTGTATGCGCGTGTGGGGCCAGTCCGGATCCGTTTATATCCAAACTACTAACTGACTGTTTCTTTCTTGCATGCTGATTTGAGAACGCTTCTCAGAGAAGAAAGTCTCGAACTATGCAGGCGATTTTTCACTTTGATGTACACTACTGGAACCACGGAACTGGATGTTCCCTCACACCATCTGTTCGCAAACGCTTTTGGTACGTTCACTTAACACGGAAAAAGTCATCAGTTCCGTGTAATGCTGGAGAAGAATGCAGAGGCAAAACTAATTCGGTCCTGATTTGCTGTCTTTGATACTTCTCGTAAATCTCGTTGACTTTGTTCTGGATAGTTCATTTCTTCTCGTTCAATCTAACTGTTTAGCTCTTTAATTCTTTCACTCATTACAAGCACACACGCATTCATAACCCTTCTCCGTGTGCCGGATGTTTTTTTCTCTTCTCTCTTCTATTCCTATTTGTCCTGGGGTTTTCCCATTTACACCCATTGCCCTCACTGCGGTTCAACCAAAATTATAATTTTGTATACTGAATTCGTTTGTGTTTGTGTAAACAATATAATCAGCTTTGATCACTCACTCACTCGCTCGCTCACCCACTCGCTTGCTTACTCACATTGGCGTCTAAGAGAGGTCAGGTTCAGTTGAGTTAACTAAGAACAATCCAGTCCCGTTTAAAGTATGCTTTGGTCAGTTGGGACCAGAGAAACGTGAGCCTTAGTGAAATATGGGTAGTTGGTCCAATAAAGTGATTAATATAACCGATATCACACTTCGTGTTACTCCAATCACTCTGTGAGGCACAACATGGGGCAGAAAATTTGGCGGTGGTGGCTGATTCTGCAATAGCGCAGTATAAGACAGTGTATCCCCGTTTGTGCAACCACTGTCTGTGTGTTTGTGGGGCTGCAGTTTGGTTTTAGTTTTTAACTTTTTTTCTTCGACGCTCAGCCTTAATCATTTTACGCGCTTTCCATGAACGCCACAAGCTCTGAATGGTGGTTGCTGCCCGTATCATGTTCTCCTGTTCTGCCAATTCGGCCGCTTGACGTTCCGCTTCCAGACGTTTCTCTTCCAGCACAGCATCAGCCAACTTCTTCAGAGGCTTGAAGAGAAAAGCGCAAAACATTTAGAAAAAGTGAAATGTTTGTAAAATCTGAGGTTTATCGAATCACATGAGAATGGAATACAGCGTTACCAACAGCTGCTTTGAATGAGAAATAGGTACATCAATTTGCCAGTAACACAATTGAGTCACGTTTTTGCCCCATTCTGAGAACAGATTAAGTGGTGCAAATCCAAGGATTTACACACGTCTTTGAACGAATTACAGCGACAACAACAGTATTACACCAAATGATCTAAGGGGGCTGGATTCACTAATATTTTGTGCCACGCTATCTTCTGTCTTCGAAAACCATCATAGGTCTCAAGAGAGCACTTCTAACCTTTGTTTTAAGGTTTATCATGCGATTGCCTTCATTTCGGTGTAGCATGTCAGCTCACACATCATACTTCAAGTGATATGAGTGTGTGCAAGTTCGTTGGATTTCATAATAAACAACCGCTTTCTGATCCGGTTGTTACTAGTTTTAATTTGTTTCTCATGTCATTTTTATCGGTTCTCTGATTCAGGTTGTCATCCTGTGTCTGTATACAATGAACTTTTCAAATCCACTTTTAGTTTATACCCATGTTTTTTAGGATAAATTAACAAACGCACGGCAATCGTATACGGTTAGGAGTTCTCAAATTTGTTCAATTATGTCTGTCTCGTTTACTGGGCTTACCCCTCAGTTCAGCTTAACAAATATACATTTTCCTAGCCCATAGTTGATAAAAAAATGTTTTTAATATGTGAAAACCTGTTCACTAGCCTACGGACATTTCACAACTGTTATCATGTTAGCTGCGTGTTTTTATCCGCATACCTACTCGGGTGTCATTGGACGTTATAATATCTCGGAACGTTCAAAGTGCATCAAAGTGTAAGTCTCTGGTGATTGTCCTAGTCGCAATACAAATAGTAATTTAATTATAAATGTATTCAACCATTTGATCTATGAAAATAAGCCAAATTGTAACAATATGTGATCTATTGGTTTATGTGGAGTTTATTTTTATTTATAATAACACCATATTATATGAACAAGATGCTTGGTACGACACACAAGTACCCGATTGGCTTTTTCCAGCCTTGTTCGCATCATATCCACTGCTTTATTTGTGCCGTGGTTGACAGCATATCTTTCCAGAGTGCCTCCATTGACATCGGAAGTAACTTTATTCAACATCTCATTTACCTCAGGAAATAGGCTTCACGTAGGTTGTGACAACGAATGGTTGATAGCCAGGTTGGATGTTTTCAACTCCTAATAGGTCTAACACCTAATGAATATGAAGGAACTGCTTCTCGAACCAAAATCTCACATAAACCATGATGTGATATAATAACGCGCGACAGCAATTCAGCTACACAAAATATTTTAAGAGCAGTCGGAAAACATTTGTTGTATGGTTTGCACTAATTTGGAGTGCCCTTTTTGAAAAAGCAATTGACATTAATTCTCTTATTGAGCTAGATTTAAGAATAAAAAAGCAAAGTAGAATTTGTGAATTGGTTGCCACTGATTGGAACACCTATGATTTTATGTGCCTAAACGCTTGACAAGCTCTGATGAAGCCAATCGACCTGCAAAGAGTGACAGGAAGTGTGATGTGAGCGTGGGCCAAACATTCTTCTATAATTAAAAGCTGAAATATTTGCTCTCTTGATCATGTCCTGGATATTTCACCCTCCGGAATATGGCCTCTTTGACTGAGCTCCGAACGCTTACCTGTGAGGCAATTTAAAACAGTATGGAAATGTGTCGCTATATTTCACGTCTGGGTTCGACTGAATCACTGCAATAAAGAGTTTAGGTATGTGATATTCTATACTCCAGGAATTCGTGGAAAACTTTCAGTAGTTCAGAAATTAGGATTAATTTGTAAACAACTAGATTCCAAAAATGTGGCAGTCCGATAATCATGGCAACCATTGTCATACTCTCCCGTTTAGTGAGGCAAACGTAGTTCACCCATAATCGACAATATGAGAACACTTGCTAGTTTTCAAAACTTGTGATATTTGTATTTAACGTGCAAGCATTGTTTGTCCGTCAGAGATCTCCTCCCGGCGGCCAAATTATCCCCTCTCTCACTCTGGTGCAAACACGTGACAAGCTGGTTTTTGCTGTGCACTCAGATTGTGGACACTTGACCAGCTCTGTCCGCGCACCTTTGCCTAATTTCTACGTGACAACAAACACGCCGAATCGCTTAGGTGAAACGTAACAAACTATAACAAAAGTGCCTGACCTTCACCGATTTTGTTTCTTCCGTATTCTGCATTTCAATACAATCAAGCGGATGTCCCTTTGGTACAAATTCACCGACACCTATGTAACTAAACGAAATACGCACCATGGTTCCTATTCTTTTTTCAGGATTTCCGATACCCTTTTGTTCGCTTTCATTTTAGTAACCTTTGTTTACGGGAGTGGAATTTAGAAGTGTAAGTGAAGGGTCTAAAATAGAATACATTCAATCTCCTAATATGTTGCACTCTTCGGGAATACGAAACATTTGGTAAATTCCAGGAACTGCAAAATAGCATTGTAGTCAGTAGTAGATGCTATTCACATAGTTGCGTCTGCACAACGGCGTTTTGCGATAGCTTGTGTCTGACATCTTAGATCTTACTGCACTGATCGGTGATGGTTCGATGGCAACGTCACCAAATTATCACCCCGGAGGACGTGTGTTCGAATCCCACCACCACCGCGTAACTTGCTCAATTGTGTTCAATGGCAGTCGTTTTAATGGCCGCTTCCCTCTTCCTGAAAATTGTATCTTTGCATATTCAATGAAAGGAAGTAAAACGTGAAGAAAAAAGTAAAGAAATCAGTCTGTCGGGATTGTTGTTCACCCGTTTACACGTTGGTGCGATAGAGCCCATTGATGGACCAAATGGCCTGTAATCAAAAATAATCACTTTCGAGTGCCCTAAATAACTGCGGAATAAACCTTTGCATATTACAAAGGTGTAATTTTAGCAATCTTAAGTCGTCCAGTCTGGCTGTCTTTAGGATTCCAACAAGCGTGCAGTTTAAATCGCTTTTACACTCCAATAATCAATTAGAAATCCAAGCGTTAGCCAAGGCAAACAGCTTTAATTGATCCAGTAACTTCTGTGCTTCTCTAATTGGGGAATTCACTGATTCACGTTCTTATTCTTCGTTACGACGCTTAGCTTGATTCGAAAAGAGGCGGTTTCTTTCTCAAAGAGGACGTTCATCAGTGAAAGAGTGAGTAAAGTTTTCAATCAGATCGCAGTTATCCTCTGGTGGCTGCATCAACGGCTGATATAATGTGGTTTGGAAGCCAGTTTTTATAAAGCATTGATCGGACACCCAAGTTTTCTTAACCAAATTCATGCCCATGAGAATGTTTATTTGGTATTTCATGCTCTCATAGGGCAATAACGTGACTCTTTCTTTAGATTTCTTGGATCCATAAATTGATTTTCCGTTGAGATTTATTGTTTTTATTCCACAGCTGCTTGTAATGCAAGGTGCGTTTCAAATATCGCAGTCATCGTCTCCATGGACCAACTGCGGTAACTCCGCTCGAGACCCGTCCACTACACCAGGTGGTACCCCTAAACTTTCACCTTTAACCTCTAACGCAATGCATGTGAGTTGTTGCTTGTCTCTTACTTTGTAGGATTGAATAACACATCTGTCTAACCAAGGGCGAAACCACATTTTAAAACCCTTGAAGTCACGGTGATGAACTTTTGGTGCTAACTGAATTGCCGTCTTACAAATGATGCTCTGTATCATGGGGAATTCGCCAAGCTTTTCATTTACTGTCTTGAAATTTCCGTTGAAGACATCCTTCCGGAGCTGCTCCAGAGTTCACAGCTTATTCGATAGTGGTCCGGTGGGATAGAGTACTGTAGAGTTTTTCTTAAAATACCAAGTGATTCGGCTATGAAGCTTTGAGCTGCACTCAGCTGATTCAGCATTTGCAGCACGTTCTGATCGATAGGAAATCGCACATTTTGAAGTCAAGTGACGGTTTCCGATTGTTGGCATCGATTTGTCTTCGTTGATAAGTTTATCCAACCAGTGAACAGTATCACGTTCACGTCACACTAGGTGAAATGCCATTGGCTGAGAGCGACATTACAGGTTGAGTGGTCAATGACCGTCCTGAACATCGGTCAACGACCCAGTGACTCGGTATCAGGATCTGCGACATATTGAGGGGGGGGGGGGNGACGTTATATGTCCAGATACTACGTCATTACGCATACGAGTGGTTTGGGTTTTCCAGAAGTGGAAAAATATTGGAAAAAGCGACCTCTCAAAGGTGCGACAGTAGGTCATTGACTATGTTCTTTTTTGGTCAGAAATTAGATCTCCAAGAGGAAGAATATAAATTTGAAATTTTAAGATTGGATGAACGTATTTTTATTTACACATACACCAGGTACTGTGCAAGGTCTCTATGTAGTGTGAGCAAAAGATCTTTTCCCTGGAATACACCTATAATATGCAGCCTGTTTAAGACTGGTAATTCAGTAAACAGATAGTAACATATTTCATATTAATCTAATGTCAATTTGTAATAGCATCAGTAAAAACAAACATCATATACTGTAACGGATGAACACTTAATGTGTATAATTAAAAAGTTGACCCTGAATAAACCGCACGGATTTTCATCCATTTTCATTCAATTCCAGACCAATGACAGAATTCGTCAAGTTTTTGCCGGGAGCCTACCTCTAACTTTTCCAGTAGGAGTGCACATTCTTGGCTTTCTTTAGTTTCCTCTTCTACCCGAGCATCGTATTCAGCCTGCAAATAAATGGGGTTGAAGTAAATCAAAAATTAGGATTATATTTTGTCACTGTCAGCCATTATCGCGAATAAGGTCAGTAGATTGAATTGCGTAGCATAACTGAGAAAACTTGTGTCACAGGCATTTGCTAAAACTATTATTAAAATATTCGGACTAAAGAATGCCCCGTTTTACTAGGCAAATTCCATCTCAACGCCCGTCATATAGGTTGTATTGGATAAGTGAGTATTGGATAATAATTGTTAAATGGACAGTGAACCATCATCTGATGCCTCGAGATATAGTGTGCACTTCATACCAGGAAGAGTCATGCATTCCAGGGATGATCGGAATGGTTATTGGAGCACAATAAGTGCTTTCTATGCTGAATGTATGAAAGCTTGATGTTGTACACCATGCTTGTTTGCAATCCGATGATATGAAAAGAACATCGTACAACATGGATTTTTCCCGAAAATTCGACTGCATTCGTAACTTAAATAACAGTCTGAGGAACCTTGAACAGGAACCAAGTAAATTCTGTGACGTTCACAATAATCTACGAAAGTCAAGGATCCGAGTAAGGTTTTCATTGAGATTATTGAATGTTCGTCTAAATTTGACATTATTTTATTTCATTTTCCGGCATACTATCAATTACCTGTATAATCTGGTATTCGACAACTGAAAAATTTTAATTATCACTCACTTAAATCGTATTTCAGTGCAGGCCCGAACCTTACGGTCTACCGTTCACGTTTGATGAACGGTGGATGATCCACTGATGCCACATGTGACTCAAAATTTAAAATATAAACGGCATTTTGTGCAAAGGACAAGCATGCATGCATAGAACAACATTGTGGGAGCTTTAAAAGCATATTTCTTGCAATTCTATTATCCTTATTGGACAGAAAATATTTCACCTGGTCCTTTCACGCGGCGCTGAATCAACCGTTTCATAAAGTATGACGCGAAGTATCGCATTCACTTCTAATCTTTTCCTTTGGTGTGCAAGTTGCTTATGTTTGTCTTCTTTGGTTTTCCAAAGAATTGATTCTGCAAGCATCTATGTAGAAGGGCATACGTAACCATCATCAGCTTCGGTGTGCTTACCTGCATTTCAAACATTTCCGTATCCGCTTTCGCTAGCATGTTGCTAATTTCGTCCTCCACTTTCCATTTTTCCGCGCGTACTTTGCGCTCGTACTTTATATTTTGTTCTATCAGTGTTTTCAAGTGGGTTTTTGAGGTCTCCAAAAACAACTCCATTGCCCGCATGGATTCTAGCGAAATGAAGAAGCAAACATAATTATTCTACGACATCATGCGTGTTGCCTCAAAAGAGCCACTTGGCAATGTGTATTTGCGTACATATAACTAAGCATAAATATCAGAAAATTTTTTTCTGTTAAAAAAGAAGAAATATCTTAAACATAGCGAGGAGAGACTTTCAGTGTGCGTAATATCACAATAGAAATCGTTCATTTCTACCAATGCAATGATTCTCTAGTTTAGGCTTATGTTGCCTTTTATTTATTTGCTGTTAAACTTATAATTTCAGTAGCTTTTTGGAACGAAATGCGGCCAATCAAAGAGCTGTAACACGAGTTAAGGAAAATGTAGTCGCTCAAAAGTGTTTTCGAACATATGACCTTCACGCTGATACGTAAAAGACATTGACCACTTGACCATCGCATCGTCGTTGTTGCCACGACTAAGTTAACTGTTTTTCGAATACAAATACACTATCTTCGGCTCAAAGCATCTCGTTCTATGCATATTGCAAAATGATTCCCATGATAAACCGTTGATCCTTTCGAACACACTATACCCCTTTCCTTGTTTAGATACATATTAATTACCACTATATTGCTGAGAAAAAGCAGTTCATATATAAATAATGTATCTGGTTTCCCGAGAAACCTGTTTGTGATCAATGGAATGATTTCGGCTAAGGGCAACAAAAGTTGGCAGCAAAAGTATCGCCCCGGGTAAACTCATGTGTTACATAGGAAAGTGAAACAATAGAATAGGAAGTGGTTTCTTCGGATAAACTACGAATCAAGTGAGTAGAGGTGTGTTACGCAATGTTTACGTCAGTCATAGAACACGTGGTGTTTTTTATTAGAATAAATGGTGTTATCCCTATGCACTGACCCACTACTAATCGACGTCCGACAACTGTGCTCTTTAATCAGTTCATGAGCTTCAATCTGCAAAACCAAAGCTTTAGGTATGTGCTATAATTTCTTTAGGGCTTTTTCATGCAAAGAAATAGAATAAACATATAAAAAACTACAAATTTGACGCTCCCTGCCAAATAAACACGGAAGCATTTCCAAACATGTGGAAAAATATGAATTATGATTCAAATAATCATTCACTGAGCAGATTGAGAAGCGTCTTGAAATGTCCATTGCACTACACGTTCATGGTACCGGCCCACACATGTAACACTTGGATGGCTACCTATTTGAGGGGTGAAGCTCCAATGAAAATCCATTGAGGTCAATGAGGGCAATGAGGTCATCCAATAGAATTCACAATGCTGACCAGAATACTGTTAATTTTGTTTCCCGTATATAAACACACGGCCGATCTTTTGTGCATCTGAACAATAAACGAAAGGACAAGTTGAATAGGGACTAGCATTCTTTTCAAGGTTGTGGTAGTTCAATATCATAGTTTATAACCATTAACCATGCACTTTCGTGAACTGATTTTGTTTGCGGTTTTTGCCCGCCTATTTTGATGACAAAACAATGAAGATTGAAATGTTCACAGCGCATTCAAGCGAAAGATTGAGAATTTATATGGACTGATGGTGCAAGACTAATGCCTAGATGCATGAGCACTATTGTTTGCGACATCCAACCATGTCACTCAGTGTCTCTAACCACCGGTGATCATGATTTCGGGGTCCCCATTCACGGGGCCTAAAAAGACCTATGCGAGTAAATCTCCTGGTTAGGATTTTCTTACCCTCATACCAGCTTTCAGGTTGACCGCCATTGGCCTTTTACCAACCTCTACCTACCTTGGCAAACATCGCGCGCATTGACAACCTATCTGGTGACATGTACAGCACATGTCCCAACCGGTGTGATCTATAGAGGTGGACTACTTGCTCCAGTTGAGGGCCAAGTTTACCTAAAACTCTACGCCTAGCCTCAGCATTGTTCGTCCAGTTACCTCTCCATACTCATGCAATGCAATGTAGACAGGGGTTTAGCCTGTTCCCGTAAAGACCAAGTCTCTGTACTGTATAACAGCACTGGCCGACCTGCTGCAGCACTCCACCCATTACAGACAGCCGGACGTCTCGACGGTGCCACAAATTTATCAAGTTGGCAAATTTCAACGAAACCTTATGCATGCGTGCCGACACTTCATCTGTCATACGTCCGTCCGGTGAGACATAGCTGCCCAGGTAGCAAAATTTGTTTTCTTCTACTACTTCCCCAGGCAGGGTTAGTTTGAAGGATGCATTTTACAATTTGGTGGTGCAGAACGCACTCAAACTATCCAGAATAGCTTGCAACTCACCTGGATCTTCACTTAGCAGCATAATTTAGTCTGCATACTCCAGATGAAACAATCTATCACCCAGGAGTAAATCAATACCACTATTCTCGCATGAGGATAACGTTGTTTTAAGAATGTATATAAAACGTTTGCAATTTTCGTCATGTCACAAACATTTCATCCTCATAGTTCCCCTCCACGGAAGCCACTTAAATACAGCTGTTTCGCTAGCTGATATCCAAACATCCACCCACGTTCTTAACACACACCGTATGATATTTTTAATAATACCATTCTGTCGGTTATATGTTTCTATCATTTGGATAGCCCGTAATTCATGTTTCGCAACATACACCACCCCTCCCCGGTTGGCCTATCCGTTAGGATTTGCAACTCGGGTTCGTGTCTGTAGTGCATGCATACAACACTATTGTTTGGATTCATTGAATCATTGGTTAGGATTTCTGATTGCGTATTTTGTAATCGGTTGCTCTTCGTATATCTTACCGCAGTGGATCTAGACCTATCAAACACTCTGATTATTTCAAATGGACTAAAATAAAAAATAAACATCGATCGTGAATTTTTGTTTATTCGTGAACCCCCTCAAGCTGCACCATATCCGCTTAATGCTGTTAGTCCCGAATAACGTTAGTGTTGTTGCAGTGCGCTGTCACTTGTTAAGTGGAGGTTAGGAAACCGGCTGAATATTGCATTTGTTTTCAAATCGACTAGGAGGAAACGGGTCCATGGTATGTGGTACGCTCCGACTAAAATGTTCAGATACAGTTCCTTTTGATCCTTCTGATTCAAAATGATGTCATTGATAATGCTTACTTTTGGGTTCGAAACCTTTTTCAGAATAATCCCACAGAGTATATTTTAAATAGAACGGTGTTATTAACTAATAGAACAATTGTCTTGGAAAGAAATGAAAACATTGCGTCACAGATTGCTATGATTGACTTCACCATGAGACTGGAATTTAGGTTCACAACTCCCATATGGCTGTATAAAAAGAACAGGACGGTCTAACTAAGACCTGGCACAAGGGTGTGAAAGCCCTGAATAGAAGACTTGTTAGGCTTCCTGCCTGAGTAACTCGAGATCATTTTAAAATATGGTTAGAAGTGATGAGACTGACATCAAATATTGCGCTCGTACAACAGCTCAATTTCAGTATATATACGATGACTGTACGCTATTGGAAATGTTTCACGCGATTTTCTTTTCGACGAGGAATTACCGTCATTAGTATTTATTGGATCTAGCCTAGAACAGAATGGTCATGAGGTGCTCCCTTTATCAGTTACAATACAGAATAAATTCGCATATTTGAAGGATATTTAGGTGGATTTCTTTATGAGCTATATCTGGTCTATTAATTAAAATTATGCTCCAAAACAGGGTTGACAAGATAAATAGCATACTTCTTTTTGACTCTTTGCAATATCCATTCTTATGCCTTAAGAAACGTTCTATCCCCGAGACTTCAATCTGTTTCCAATCCCCCTAAATCAAAGTGAAGGTGGCTAAGTAAGAGTGCTGGCCTCACCTCCATAGCTCTTGTCTGGTTATTCCAACATCGTCCTAGAATAAGGCTTGAATAACCGTGTTCGAACATCAGCAAGATAACAGTGTCTTTTACCCTTTATGGCTGAATTCGTGCTCTGCATAGTGCTTTTTGATTCACTAATGCGGTATACTGTATTAGTCTCCTTCAGGTTAACTTGAATTGGGCTCTAAAATGAACAATTACATAACAGATTATGACCTGGTGTTAACAAACATACCTTTCATGTGAAGCGTCCGGAGGTTATATCTCCAATGGGCCAATGGGCGCTCAATCTAAGTGATCACTGACGAGCGTGAATCCGATTTATAGTGCTTCCTCTTAGAGAACGGAACATGACTTTAATCGTGCAGGAAGAAGATCGATTGGTGAATCATGCAAAAGTTGTTGTACTTATATTCACCTTCTATCAATATACTCCTATGACATATCCTGTAAACATCATACGATTACTAAATGTCCAAAATGTAAACAAATGCACTAACTTGAGAAGTACGAATTACGTGTGCTCGATTCTATCACATTTGAACTATGTATTTTAAACGGACTACTTCCACACACCTGATAAGCAGGCACAAGACCGACAATTACAGGTGCATTGTAAGATCAAAGACCCAGTGTAAATGTGTGTGTGGAGTCAGCGGGGGTTGAAATCATCTACAAGTTTGTGAGTTTACTGAATAATTATAACAAACGACACGAGTGTATAAATCCTGTTACCATCCTGTAAACTGAATTACCGATAGAAACATCATCGTCGGAACAAGGTGCAAACAGTCTATGATATTGTGCACAAGCGCAATTCTCTCCTGTGCATCCTAATCTTTGACACATCCGGACCGGACAACAAGCCAAAAATAGGTAACCTTTTCTATTTTTTTCAACTTTCTTTTATACGTGCTATTATTTCCCTCTTCTTTACGTCCGAGTTATATAACTTTTGCTTTTTTAACCCCAGAATACAAGTCAATGGAAAAAAATCCCGGTTTCAAATGCCTATGAATAGGCTAGTGATAAGACGTCAAAGTGTATAAACTCATATTTTACGGATATTGTGGAGAAGTTGATCGGAGTACGAAATTTTCTATCATATGAGATGCATTTTAGATCCCATTTGTCGAATGCAATCTCCCTCTGGAATATTAATCACTTAAAACTTCTTATAGTCCATGGTTGTCATTCTAAACTTTTTAACCAGAATCCGTAAAAGAACCGTTCACAGAAAATGAACTTGAACTACTTCTCTATAAATGTATTGAACGTATCCTTACCAAGAGCAACAAAGTAAACAACAACAACCACGTGTATCTTCTGAAGCTTTAAATAAAAAACCAAATATGATGTTGCTGACTTTCATACCCAATAAATCTCAATCTTCTGCAGCAGTCTGTCTAAAACTTTCGATGCACATTTTGTAAGCGGGATATAATAATGATTCTTCTTTACGTTGAACAGTGATAAATATATAAACTCCCATTTAATCAGCTCAGTATTTCAAGAAAAAACAGCAATATTGTTCAAATATGTTGACACCAATGCCAAATGATCACCACAAAGTGGTCTGAAATGTAAATTGAGTACTTTTTTAATAAAGGCGGTACAAAACCGAACAACTGGGAACAGTTCTAATAACATTCTAAAAGAATCATTTTGAAATGTCATCGTTCCAAATAGCAGATATTCAGTGAATTTGATCAAAGTCCTTCTTGACTTGCTCAACATCTAACTGGATCAAGTGGAATGATTTCTTTTCAAAATTACTACTAGTGTTACCGTGTATTTGATCTGTGTGGAGAGGCCAATCTACACATCCGACCGAATCGTTTTCCGCATTTTGTAACTGGAAGAGCTTAGCAATAAAAATTAGTTTATCATTCGATAATTTGTATTTTTCTTCTACATTTATTGTGTTCTTACTGTCTAATAAAAGTCTTCACCGAGCGAACTGGTAATTCCAATCCACGACCAGGGATGGAATTGATTTACATTGCCTACGCTAAGTCATCGTATGTAAACGGGTCTCGATGAGATAATACCCTAGTAATGATATAAGAACTCGCGGAGTATAATACGAAATTTGAATTTGAATTAAAGCTGCTTGATTAAGTCCGTCAGCAAATGCATATTGTTTTCGAACCCCATTTATTCTTTGTTTACATTTGTTATGGAGAGTATTAAAACAAACGTTGATTATGAGTTCGTTGAGCCCGCCTAACTGGATAAGATCCATTATACTGGTATAAGTGTTGTCAAAGTACGTGCCAGTGAATGTGTTGAGCAGCTATACAATGTCTGTCTGTCTATCCAGGAAAAAAGTGCACCATTTTGCAAATCATTGATTCAACAAATCGATATGACCTTCCCGTACCGAGTCTTAGGGGCTTCAACTGATCCCTAGTGTGGCCATCAGAAAGCTAGGCTGGATCCGAGATCGCTACATTCGTGATGGGCAATCTATCCTGCGACGGACATTTCGCCTTTAAGATGCCACTAGCCGATATGTTCGCTGGTGCACACACACGCAAGCATGCACCTTTCAAGCACACATTCAAGGGTGAAACCACTTGTATCCTGGCTTCACTAACACACACAAGCGTGTCAGCCAAATTAGGATGTAGTCGCACACACGCACACACATATTTGGTATGCCTGCGTGGGCAGTGCATAATGACACGGAACACACGGTTCGAAACGGGAACGCGAAATGAAGCATTGTCCCACAGACAGATCACACTATTTTTGCCTTAGAAAATCAATGGCTTCTGATGCACATCCCATAGACTCTGCGGGAGAGGTATACGCGGACGATAATACAGGGAGTTTGTTAGATCGAAGAATAAACGATGGTGTATCCGGGTTGAGTGAAGGTGAACGTGAGACGCGAGTGAAGGGTGAATGCTTTTGCTGAAGGATATTTACAAATTCGATAATTATGGTACTACAACGCAAAATATATCATCAGTTACATATAGGGATTAAGGAAGGGAAAGAAAGTAATTAAAACTTTCAACAGTTTGCAACATAAATGGTTCCCACCTTACATGTGAGTGAATTGAATATATATATATATATATATATATATTGCATTGTAACGACGTGATTGAGATGCACGGAAAACGGGTTTGTTTGTTTTCTCATGATGTGTTCTGTGAGGTTATTTGAACATTGGCAATTTCCTCAAACTGGGTTTTACTACCCCAAAACTGTGTTCCACAACAACTTTCATGTTTCATGATCCTTCATCAATAACATTAAAGTAAGCTATAAGAAATTGCTTTCTCAACCAAGCACAAACAACTAACCATTGAAATACGACCTGGGGCGTCATCTCTATAGATTATAGTCTTCTCAGAAAAAACGTAAGAGACACAGTGGTAACAGCAATTTGTGGTAAAATGTTTGTCAAATTTTGCATCAATGGGTTCTCCCTTAGATTTTAAATGATATTCATCTGAAAGACTACGAAGCATTACTGTGATTAATCTGATGCAATTCGGATTTGTAACATACCGAGTTTGAAAGGTAGAGCATGCTACTGGTAATGCTGATGGAATGAATTTTGTGTTCACCATGAGCATCGATGTGGGATCGGATATAATAATGATTTACTTACGATAATGAACAAATAAATCGGTTGGTTGAGTGTATCGCAATACAAAGCCTTGTGCACATGGGTTTTGTAATGCGTCGTGAATGAGATAAAACCCTCAGTGCTTGCATAAGTCAGAAGGGAAAATGGAAAACCGATAGGCGATCAAAGTGAGTTTAAGATGGAAGTCTAAAACGGGAATCATCGGTCTGAAGGATGTAAATTCTGGTCTCGTATCCCACGGAATAACCGAGTTATGTCTAACGCATAGGGTAATGTGAGGGCTTGGAGGTATTTCGGGATCCAGAATTGTGTGTGGACGAACTGTCATATGACAGTCACCTCCACAGTAGCTATCAGGCCATTGTTTCAACCTTCAAAACGTACCCGTTAGTGAAATGGGTAGATCGGTTTAGAATATTGTGACCATATCAGCACAGTAAGTCTCGGTCTGAGTTGCTGAAAACTTTCGGCATTGAGCTCGTGGCTAGTTAAACTCCGCAGCTTAACCAAAACTGGATTTGATGAATTGTCTTGACACTTTCTTTCCTTAGTATAATCGCCCACCTTTCATTTCGCCTGTTCGCCGAGCTTGGCAATTTGTTTGCAAACGTTTCATCACCAGCCGAGGTGACATCATCAGTGCTTGTGAAGTGGAGTGTTCTGCCTGTACCTGTTCGTTTATATGTGTTCTTCTCCATTGATTATTTTGGTCCACTGTTCTCACTGCGTTCGACTCGGTTCGCTGTTGAACTGGTAAGAGGGATTGATGGTGGGAGGGGAGGAGGTTGCCCTTTCGTCTCGATTACGGTTTACGTCCGTTCTGAGGTCATGGCGTGACATTTTTTGTTGCGTCATTTGATCCTTGAGTTGCGCTGGTGTGTTCACGTGATCCAGTTCGATGTGCCTGTGTCTGTGGATGTTCTCATATGCTTACTGAGATCATTATTGTTAGTGACAACTGTCATACTAGTACGTACATGATACACTGTAATGTCTTTTTTCATCGACTCACAATGATCCATTCGAGGCATTAAACTGAGGTTATCACTCGATTTCTATCTTCAGGGTATTTCGAGTACGGTTATAGATGAAAGATTCAATAACATACTAACCTTTATGCTTCTGATTGGACAAATGACGCTCAGTATCGTATTGGTGTTTCAACTGACTGAGCTCGTTCTGCGTTTTTTCTTGAATGTCTCGAATTTGACGCTGTAGATGTTTAACGCGCTCCATACGTTCGACCAGCTGTGTTTAAAAAAACGTTAGGAGAGAAACGTAGATATTGGCTGATGGGTGAAAAACTGAAACCGGATCGGTGGATACAATTAGGTTTCTCGGAGCCACATTTTAGATATAATTGTCTTATTTAAGCCGTTTTAGTGATGGAAAATGAGAAAGGGTGTTTTTTAACTGCCCGTGTGAACAGTCATTGGATAATTATAGTGGAGCAAAATGTGCCTGGTGTTGGGTGTGAAGTCGAAAGCATGCCTCACTCAGGAAATTGCTGCATCGATTATACGAGTGCAATGGAGCATTTGGTTGAATAATAAAGCGAGTTCGTGGCATGAAGGAAGAGTGGGCTGAAAGCCAAACCGCACTGTGAACTGTTTCGACTTGATTGGGTTTCAGTAGCATTGCGATTGTATCAGCCCAGTTGGGGATCGAACCTAGGCCCTCACAGGTAGAATGGACCAACCACTCAGCTACCGGGCAGCTGATCAGTTCACTCTTCTTTTGGGTTGTATAAATCATCGGTTTAGTTCGAAGTGTTACGGAATTTCATTCAGTATTTCACAATACTATTTCCGAGTATGGTCAAAATTATTTAACAATCTGAAGTTATCTTGAATAATGTACCGCAAAAAGACGATTTGTTCATTCTATTCGAAATGATTGCACTACATCCAAAAATACCATGTGAAATGCAGTTGGTGGAATCATTTGAGCAGGCGAAATAGGCCTAAAAACGAAAAGCAAATGCGTCATAGTTATAGTCACGAAAAACAAGCAAGGGGTATAGGGAGGGATATAATTTTGTCGATGAGAACCAAAATAAATCCATTTCATTTCATAATGAATGCACGTTTTTGTTTCAATTTTAACTTTCCATCACACATGGTGTTTTTCCCTTCTTGAAATGTGAGAGCTTTCTGTTGTTCTCAGCGGTGCAATAGTGCACCAAATAGTACGAAGAACAACTTGGCTGATATAGGTAATGTTTTGATGGAAAATATGTTTTGGAAAGAAAGATATATTCAAGCGAATTGTTCAAGAACAATTATCATTGCATTGTGGGTTCTGACTGATCCGTAAAAAACGGAATCGTTTTCGGTTATCTTTTTGATTGTGGTCGGAGTCCATAAGTCATCAAACCGTCATCAATATAAAGCCGAGTCTTGCTGTATCCCATCAATTGATCAACGTCGGTCTGGTGCAAGTTTTGGATCAATGCAAGGAAAACTGTTCTCAGGTTTACATTCTCACATTAACATATATATATATATATATATCTTGGTGCATGGATCGATTCCGGTCGAATAAGGTAAAGCGTTGATGTCTGTTACACAATGAATGAGAATAAGCTGAACGTGCTTATAAATGGGAATCTAAGGAAAAGTTGTTTTATGAACCATAGATTTGTGATAAGTATCCATAGTAACAGGGGGAATACGATATCGGCCTAAATTCATGCGAATCAAAATATTTCATTCATAAAGTCTCGGCACAATATGTTGATACCCTCCGCGATTCGTGGATAAATTACACACATACAACCACCCCGTGTCACTATTGAATGAGACCGCAGCTCACTAATTTGCATGTTACATAAGCACAAGTGCATGCCCAGACGCAAACTAATGGCTGGCTTGTTACGTATCTGCACCCCGCCCCCGAATAATCCATATACTACCAACTATTCAAGCATGGTTAGAATGAGCTAATCCAAGCTTGATANGCTTGATACTCTAAAATGGTTAGAAATTCCTCTGATATTTCATTCTCAAAACTCTCGATCATTTAGTTCCGGATAGGAAAGTAAGCGAGCGGCAGTTAGCACCGTAATGTTGCGCTCATCCTCTACTTTTGTTTGAACTTTTGACTGATGACCAACAGCTTGAGCACAGAATTGCCTGAAAAATATACATTTCATGCAGCTCATATGTGGGCGTTTCGAATCCGAACTTGAAGGTTTACGGTTTCAATCTTTTCAGTAACACACCACCGTTGCCGAGTCCTTAAAAGGTTGAAATACCAGTCTGATGCTCTTTTTCGGTCCTCATACCTAAAGGTCTGTGACATTCAAAGCGCATTATAAAGTGAATTTGCCTAAAGCACTGAGGAAGCAATGAAGTGGCTAGGAATAATTAAGTGTGCCATCGAGTTATTGGCCAACTTCAATGCTGGCAGTAACTTCGATCTGATTTATTTCCGTCCTTTCATCGTTTCCCTTCGTGGTGTCTACCTTACCTGAGAACGTTGGCTTTCCTGCAAAGTTTGAAACTGTTTGGTCAGTTCTTCGATCATACGCTTTTGTTCCATATCACGACGTCTCAAGCGTTCCAAAAACTCATCTCGCCTCGCTCGAGCTTTCGGAGTTGTGAGCAGATCGTTCCGTGTGAGACTGCGTAGGTGTACCAGTTGGACCGCGAGACGACGACAACTGGCACTCGGTTCAATGGCCCATTGTTCCCGATGGCGAATCAGGGCGGAGATAGCCAATGGATTGTTCATCATTTCACGCAACAACAAGCGTGTGACTTCAAATAAACGACTCGTGATCTACAACCGTGTTGGAGAAAGATAAGAATAGTCTCATGCAAAAACAAGCACTGGATAACAGATTTCTAAACGTTTATCAGTGGTAACCTGCTTTTGCTCAAGAAGTATACTGATATTTCGAAAATGCTGATGATTAGCAATATTATACACTCAAGCGTTAAGTTTATTCTCACGAATTACACAGAATATGAGAATCTATTTCTTGGGTTGTACCTAAAATGTAAGCATTAACTTGGGTTATGAAAAAGTCACTTAGTTGGATCATTATATCTAACTTCCGTGTTTCAAACGGCTCTAGAAAAAATTCAACCTATTGTAGTGTTTCTTTTTCAAAATAGACTGAACCATTTGTTCCGACGATAATGGTCAGAAAGAATCACATGTTCAAACTTGCGAATAAAAACGATACCTGCATTAAATTATAAGCAGCCTATTTAAGTGCTAGAAAAATCGACGGAAAAGGGAGAAGGCAGATGCAGCTAGATTCATGTTAGGTTGTGATCAACATCTAATAGTATGATCGGGTAGCCGCTCAGACGCCAACGACAGCATCTCTTTAAACGGTCTATGGGGCAAAGCTTGTTGTCACATTCTTGAACAACCGCGCATAAGAACGTCACTCCTCGGAGAACCTTTCTGTTTGTGATCTTATTCTATATTTATTATTTCAATGATTCGGTTGTGAAAGTACACCTTGGTTGCAGGAGAAAACGCTTTAGTGAACCAAAATACAAACATAAAGCTGAGAGTACACTTCGTTTAATCAGATCGTACTATTCCCTAAGTCGAAGAGCAACGATTGCAGCATATTCCGGGTATGATAAAATCCGTATTTACAACTCACAGCCAGTGATTACGTTTCTCAGGGTTACTCTCCAAGCCTAATTAGATTCATTCACTGCGGAATATTGTTTCGTTTGAGTTGACTGCCGAAGTGGAACATATTTTTCTCTAACTTAACATATTCATTTGTTGTTTAATAAATGCTATTTCAGTCTCTTTGTGTTCCCTCTTTTTGCATATTCTATGAGCTGTTATCAGAGAAGACTCATCAGAATAAAGTTATGTTAGGTTCACTGTGTTCGCTGGTGGCCCTATAGGTGGATATTATCTCATTTGACCCTCATAATTTTCGGGACAACCTTTGTGGATTCTATAATCTTGAGTGATGGATTAAACTGGATAATCTGCACATGTACACCACCACTGAATAACGTAAGACCTGGTGGAATGGACACGAACTCGCAATAAACTGTGATTTGCACTTGACAATACTCTCTCTTGGATGTCAGGTTTTCGATTTCAAACCAATTGGACTATAGTCCCAATGGTTCCGAATATTTGATTTTAGCCCAAATCTCTTGCACTTTTACGACAGGTAGCCCAATGTGCTAGTTCGGAAACCACGAAATCTATCGTAATGGTTAGACATATGTATGCGCCTTAGATTCACGGCTCAGACATTCTTTTGAGTTCAAGTAATGCGCACTAAATGGATAGTAGTCTGACGTACAATGTAAATTTGGAAATGGGTAAAAGCACAGTGCGACATTGTTAAGTATTTTGGCCTATCAAGATGAACGCTTTTCAAGTCAAGTCAAGTCAAGAGTGCACTTAATTTATCCAATGTGGACAGAATCTTCAGTAAAAAGAATGTTATCACTTTCGGTTTCACGTAGGTGCTATTTAAAATGAGTTTAAAGATTTGACAAATAATTACTTAGATGGTAACGAAGAGGAAGCTGAGAAGGCGTAAACAGTGAAAAGTTAAATTACGCTTTGTACGAGTTCATTTGGTGTTCGTTTCCTCAAACCACCACACGTGAAAGGTAAGGTACAAAGGGGTTGTGAAAAGCAGTGGTACGAGTAGATAAAGTTTTAAGTGTATTGCCGGTGACAGAAGTTGGAATGGAGCTAGATCGGGCTGAGTGTGAAGGATGTGATGCATCGAACGAGATGGAGTCACACAGACAATCACACGCATTAAAATGTTGGTTGACAATGAAATCAACAATCTCCTCATAATATACAGCTCCATATCTAGAGATGCTTTTCGGAGTGTCTAATTAATACGAAATCCTTAGACCGTAGACCGGGGAAGATAACGGGTGAGCTGTAGGTCCAAAAACATAACACGCACGTTAAGTTTATTTAGAAATGATGTACAATGGCACCCTCAGATGCCGAAAGCGTGAAATATATAAGGTCAACTTTCTGACTGTAAGAAATGCTTGCTCTACGCGATAGGACCATTTGAGGTCAACAGACAGGAGACATCCAAGATATTTGAACTGTTGTGACATTTCAAATTTTACGTTATTAAACTATTTCGTGGAAATCTCATCAGCTGTGTACATACATTCAGATCACGTTTGGTTAAAGGAGTGACCGGTTTGGAGACAGGCAAACACAAATGGGGAAGAGCAGTCAATCAATACGAAGGCCAAGCAATTGAGAGAACATATGAGCCACCTCCCTCATATTATTGCACGACGCGAAGCGATTGCTCATTGAATTCAATCTAGACAAACCCGATGCTTCAGTTACGTCCTCCTGTGTTTATCCATTTCAACGTACTTGCGGTAGAAAGTAGATCGGAAGAACTGAGAGACGATTGTCTACCAGGATAGCGGAGCACAAACCGAAAAATTTGGCGTCTAATGGGTCGAACTTTCCGTCCGAATCAATCGCCCGACACATACTGGATTGCAAAGAATGTGACAAACCTAGGGACGCCTTTCGTGTCTTGATCCAGCAGAAAGGTAGCCGTCTATTACGGTTCGCTGAAGTTGCTGCTATTCGATAGCACAAGCTCGAATTGCTTAAACAGATCGAATTTGTGGCTAGCCTCGCGCTGCCCGCTGGTAGGTGTCACTGTCCTCCCCCCTGCCCCCACCATCCAGTGATTCCACTCCCTGCCCCAAAGTTCAATCCGGCTCATATTAGTGACCTTTAGCCTACGTGTTGATTGTTTTCCGTTCCCCGTGTGTGTTCGCCTGTCCCCAAACCTATCACTGTCTGAACCAAACATGATCTGAATGTATGTACACACCTAATGAGATAATCACAAAATAGTTGAATTCAACGTATCCTGTGATCATGGTGCTTCTTCTTGCTCTCATGAAATTGTTAAAGGGAACTGGTTGCATGAAATTTTACGTTATTGATTAAGATATTGGGAACAGATAGACCAGAAAGTGTTGATGATCTACAATTATTGGAAGATACAACTTCGAAGCATTTGTTCGGGTTTAAAGAAAGGTTAACACCATTAGACCATTCAGAAATTAAACCTATGGTTGATTGAAGGGGATTCGTTGAGGGGTTGTTGTTGTGAGAAGCACCACCAACTACCATATCGTTGGCATGTTTAAATGTGAAAACATTGGGGATGACTATCAAGATTTGGATGTAAAAGGAAAAAAATAAAGGGGATAAACTGTTTCAAGTCAAGTCAAGTCAAGAAGCGGCTTTCATTCTCCCTATAGGGGATGAACATTCAGCTACTACACAATCACTCTTCTTTGGAAATTACATGGTAACAAAGCGTATGGTGATACGGTACGTATACAAAAAGCCAGGTTAGCAAAGATTTTGTCCAAGAGTTACAATGACAAGATCAGCGTTGGTAAGAAACCGTGCAGGTACGGTATTATTGAAGACTTGTATTTAGTGGTGCGTGCTGCTATATGTTTATACATGGAACGAGTGCCAGATGTGGAAATACATTGACTAAGATGAGGCTACAGTGGGTGAGATGGGTTAAGTAGTATTCTGGTAAAAAGTTTCTGGCATGCCCTAAGGTAGTGTGAAATAATAAACTGCACAACATACTCAAGGGATATGCCGCTGTATCGACATGCGTGTTTGATGGATGTGCGTATGAGTTTGAAGTCTTTGATTAAAAGACCCGGAAAAATAACAGGGGATGCACAAAGCCAGTGGGGAAGGATACAAGAGA